ATTTCATAGCAATTGGTTTCTGCGACAAGCACACCTATTTGTGGTAATTTATTTGTGGCAAAGATCTTATTTTCGCTTTACCGAGTGCTAGTAGGTAGTGTGTGGATTACCTAGATACTCTGCACATTACCTAGGTAATTTGAGAAATGGAACAATTTTCACAACTTTAACGGATCACGCTAGGTAATCTGCAGATTAATAAGTTTCGAGCTTTAGAGGTAACATATATACTGTACAAAACAAAATTAACAAAATCATCTTTCAATCTGAAAATGAGATTTTTAAAATGTACTTAAATTTAAAAAAAGTTACAAGTTCTTTTTTTATTATTATAAACTAAACTCCTGAATAATTTTGAAACGGCCTGTTTTATTTAATTTAAGTGCATTTCACTCATGAGATTATGATGAAACATTCTAAAAACAACTGCACATATATTACATTCAAATAAAAATTTTGAAGGTTGAATACTAAAGCTAATTGTCTATGTATATATACACAGCATAGATTATCTTTCAGCCAAACACCAATACTCTACACCAGCGCTGTCCAACTTATCATAGTCCGCGGGCCATATTTTCTTTATCAAACATTTCGGGGGCCAAGAAGGTTGATAAACCACACGACATTTGCATAGTGCTACGGTTCAGTAAGCACTAATTGGTCAACGAGTCCGATGTTGACGCTATAAAAAGGCGACAGTTCGACACACCGGATATACGTCACTCTCGTCTAAGTTCGACTTGGGAAATTTTTTGTTCAATAATAAATGTGAATTCTTCTTCCTGGAAAAAATAAGACATTCCCTGAAAATAAGACCTAGCGCATTTTTCAGAGCAAAAATTAATATAAGACACTCTTATTTTCGGGGAAACACGGTAGTAAAATAATTTTAATATTAATAATAATAATTTAGTAACAAATTTATTCATAGTAAAATGTACTCGAGGGCCGTAAAAATTATTTGGCGGGCCGTATACGGCCCGCGGGCCGCCAGTTGGACAGCGCTGCTCTACACTGACAGTTGCTCAGTAAAAACATTTCTGTACATTTAGTTACTATATGTATTAATTAAAGGCAGTAATTTTTTTAGAAAAAAAAATGGCATTTATAATGTATTTACATACATCCATGTGTGTTTGTATGTGTAAACTATGCTTTATTGACTATTAATTTGCCAAACAGTATAAAATATGAAGATATTGTATGTAACAAAAAAAAATACAGGTTTGCATTTCTTTTCCTTTGCAACTTAGTGTATATAATAATGAATAATGATGTGATGAGTCAAAGTCCAATTGTTATTTTATGTTTTGGGTGTTATTTTTAGTTATTTTCTTTTCAGGGACTTTTTTGTTTTAAGGATAGAAACTCCCAAGAAACCTCAAAATATACTAATTCAAAATTAAGACAACAAATATTTATTTACATAAGTGACTAATGCCATAATGTTTAAATATGCAAATAGAGTAGTGGGAAATTATACTGTACTTGTAATAGATAAAAGATGATATACTTGTTCAACAATATGGGTAGCTCCTGAATAAGAATGCCAGACAATTTGCTTTCTTGAAGCAAATTGTCTGGCATTCTTATGATAAAGCGATCAACTTGTAAGAGGAGTATTCTTTGCTTTTTATTTTAATATTGGTGAAGATTTAATTAATTATACATCTCAAGCTGAAAAAAAGAATTTCTTTCATTGATTGTGTTTGTTTTTTTTTTTGCTTGTACATAATTGACCTTCACTTGTTTGAATATTTGAAACATATCGCTACTTTGGAAGAAAACCAGCATAACTCAAAAAAGTGCAATTTTTTGATTATGTCATAATCAAAACGAAAATGTAGTAAATTTTTATGTGGAAGAGTGTCACAAAAGTAACTTGCATATTTGGCCATTAGGGAACATTATGTGGGAGAGAGGTGATATTCAGTTAAACTTTGGTTAAATCTTTGCATGGGATTTTCTCAAAACTAGTAATTTTGAGTTGCTGGTTTTCTTCCAAAGTAGTGATATGTTTATTACTAACTTCTTGTTTATAACCATGGTTGATAAGGCCGGATGGCCGAGTGGCCAAGATGGCAGCCTACTGCGCTGAGGGACCCGGGATCAAATCCAGACAGGTCAAAGAATCCCCAGGAATTTTTCAGGGGTTGGTCTGTTCAGATATGTCAGACCCCATCCCTCACCACCCAGTTGCCCCATTGTGGGTCTGCCTGAACCCATAATGGGCCTGCTGTAAGAGGCCTTCTTAGTCTTAGTGCCCACAGGTGGAAAGAGTAAAAAAAAAAAAAAAAAGCATTGATAATTATCTTTATGCACTATAATTTATCATCAGGTGCTTATCACAAAATTGGTTTAGCATATAAATGTATGATAAACTCTCTCATTTGCTCAAGTAGCTTATGAAAGGAGCTTTTCGATCCAGAAATGTGTGCACATGCTTTGTCAAAAATGGAGAAGACGGAGACTCGTGCAATCATAAAATACCTGACGAAAAAAGGGTTACCCCATCTCAAATCAAAGCTGAATGGATGAAGTTTTGGGAGAGTCTGCTCCTTCGTACACCACTGTGAAAAAATGGATAGCCCTTTTTAAATCTGGCAGAGAGTGTGTGGAAGACGACCCTCGCAGCGGACGGCCGTCAATTGCTGTCACTGAAGAAAATATCGACAAAGTTCACGATTTGGTGTTAGCAGATCGCCGTTTGAAAACGCATGAGATAGCTGAGACAACAGGCATCTCTGTCAACCAAGTGCACCACATCCTAACCGAAAATTTGGGTATGACGAAGGTCTCAGTAAGATGGGTGCCGTGCTCAGTAAGAAGCAAAAACGTGTTCATACTTTGATGTCAAAGGAGTGTTTGGACTTCTACCAGAAAAACCCACAGGATTTCTTGCGTTGGTTTGACTACTGATGAAACATGGATCCATTACTACACTCCTGAAACAAAAGAACAGTCGAAGCAATGGAAACACCACAATTCGCCACCCCCAAAGAAGGCAAAGACAGTTCCATCAGCAGGGAAAGTGATGGCCTTGGTTTTTTGGGATGCTACAGGCATCATCATTATTGACTACCTAGAAAGAGGAAAGACCATCAATACTGTCTATTACTGTGAACTTTTGGAAAAACTGAAGAAAGAAATCAAAGAAAAGAGGCCACACTTGAAGAAAAAGGTTCTGTTCCACCATGATAATGCACCTGCACATTCCACCAGAATCACTGAACAAAAGATAAACGAACTTCACTTCCAATTAGTTCCACATCCACCGTACTCACCTGATTTGGTCCCGAGTGACTTCCACCTTTTTCCAAACCTAAAAAAATTCTTGGCAGGAAAAAGATTCCACTCAAATGACAAAGTCATCTCTGAAGTGAACGAGTATTTTGCACACCTTGATAAATTGATCTATTGTGATGGCATAAAAAAGTTATAACATCGCTGGAATAAATGCATTGCTAACAAAGGAGACTACATTGAAAAATAAAAGTTTTAACATTATTTTGTTTGTTGTTCTATTTGAGGCCGCAAACTTTCTGAACAGCCCTCGTATTTTAAACAACAGGCTTGTCAGATCATTACTTCTGATTTGATAATAGAATATCATTTTAAATAATTTTTATCACACCCACAGTTTTGTTTGCTTGGTGAATGCAGACTAGTGGATAGAAGACAATGCATGGGCAGATAGTACTCTCCATACATACCTGTGATGACTCACTTGGGACTAAACTTATAAAAATATCTCCATATAAAAAGATGAGCATGAAACAAACAGAACAATTCTTTATTTCATGACAAAGCAGGTGACCAAGATGTGTTTTACATTACATGTTATTCAATTATAACTGTGTAATCATGAGATTTTGAACAAAAAAGTGTTCAATCCTGAGTAAATTAAACCATATAATTGTGGAAAGTGAAACGCCATCTGCTGGCGAGACAACGAGAGCGGAACGAGACGCGACTTCACGAGAGAAGATGACGGTTGAAGAAGAACGCGCGAAAAGACGGAAGACGAAAAAGCAGCCATACATTTGTTTTTTTATAATAATCACAATATTTTTATGTAATTTGTATTCCTTAAAACGTTCCTGTTATCCAAACCTTTCTTATCTCAATTAAAGTTTTTCAGAAACAAAAAAAAAAAAGTCTCACATAATTAACATAAAATTTTATAGAACTTGGCATTATCTTTTGTAAATTGTAATTAATAAAAGCTGGCTTTCTGAAATGAGCATGTGATTTACTTATATATATATAAAATTAACAATTGTAATTTTAATAGTGAACTACCCTCATTTCTCTTTCTCTGCTTTTATTAAGCAAACAAATTTTGAAATTTTATTTAAATTCAAGGATTAAATTTATTTTGTTCATAATAAATTTTTACTTTGAAATTACAAAAATGCCAATAAGAAATTTTTTAATAATTTAATAAATATAATCAATAAAAATGAAAGCTTTCATAAAAAAGTAAATAAAACGGAAGATATATGTTTATTACAAAACCGTCATTATATAACAAAAATTTAAGAAAGTGTGGATTTATTTAATAGTTTTATAATAAAATAATTACTGACTACAGTTTTTAGCTTACAACAAAATGTTACTTCACAATTAGGCACAGGTGAAATATTGTTTATCTGCATAAGACTTCAAATTTTCTTTTTTTATAAAAATGTTGCTGGAGACTATTCTCTGCTTTAACAACTAATTTATATAATTTTCAATTTCACAAGTTTTTAGATAATTCAAACTTTTTTTCTGATAATACTGATTTTAAATTGGTTCTTCAAAATCATCTCTTAATCCTTCATGAAGAATATCCAAATAAAAGTACAACAGTTGATAAGTGTACATATCACATTTTCATCACTTTGCTGCTTACTTAATACAACAATTTTTTTAAATCTGTTAAATATAGCAATAAGATGAAATCTTATTGCCATAATAACAAAAAATTGTGATCTGAATAGTTCATAAATCTTTTATTCTCTCCTTAAGTTATCTAAACGAGCTTGTAAGTCAGCATCTGCATCAGCAATGGCAGTTGCTTTATTTGCTTCGCCAGTTTTATTAACTAAAGTTCCAGAAGCAGATGGCAAATCTGTTAACTGATCGGATAACTGTAAACCGAGTTCATCTAAAACTTGGGCAACAACAGCATCACTAAACAAATAAATTTTATTATTTAGTAATATAATTATAGATTCTAAATAATAAATGTAAATATAGTAATTGATCCTTACTTAACAGCATATAAAGCTCAAAAGATAGTATCTTATAAATTCCATAACTTTAAACATAATTTAGAAAAATTGAAATAAGATCAATTCATGTTCAATAATAATAAGTTAATGTAATATTACATTAACTTATTAATACTGATGATAGTGATAATATTGATAATAGTGAAAGGAAACCAGTAAATAACAACATATCTGCTTCACAATATAAAATAAAAATGAAACAAACACATTATCTGAAATTGAAAAATAAATGCACTCTTTTTTCACTAACAAGCTGTCCTCAAGTGTCTAGATTGGAATTTGAAAGTCCATCCTTTTATTTTCACTATGTTAATTCTTGTAATTAGCACACTACATAAGTTTCATTCAGACAAGTTTTCTGATTCCAATATAGATGTCTAAAGATAACTTCTTAGTAAAGATGTTTGCATCTTCATTAATTTTTTTGACTTAATGCAATATAAAAGGGAACAAACTGTTTATTTTGAAATCTGATATTTCTTACTGTATTTTCACAGATTGTCTGGCATGTTGGACTATCTGGGGAGACCATGAAATCAGACATTTCCATATGGTAAAACAGATGTGCCAATTTATCCTGGAGAATGCTGGCATGTTGGTTTAAGTGAGGTTATAGATCCCTCTCTAGAGGGCACATTACAAAAATTGAATGCATTATATCACATAAAAACAAACAAGTTTTTATTCTAAAACTGTGAAACCGTCAGCATTACATTAAAAACTACAAATTATATGTTTAATTTCTTCATTTTGTCTTTTTTCTAGCAATGTAAACACTCTTGGAATTCCAGAAGTGCTTTTTTTGTGTGTGTACAGTGGGTGATTGGTTAATAAACATAATCCGTTCCAAGACTTTGTTCACTATCCAAATTGTTCATTAACCGATTATCAATTTACCATAGGTTTTTATGGGAATTTGATTAAATTTGTTCTGGAGAGACCCCAAAAAATAAAAAATATACACTTTCTTACTACATTTATTTATATGCAATAATAAAAATAATTTATACACAGTCTTGCATTTTTATTAGTCATGTTTTCCGTTTGTAGGGATTAAAGAATCTGTCCAATGTCGATTGCTTCTCTCTTTTCTTCAGGATTTTTTAGAAGTAATTAATACCATTGTAATTGTAGAGATCCCCAAGCCTATTAACCTCAACCTGGTTTGGATGCCATTCTAAAACCATTGTTCTGACATCCTCCCACTTCTTCAAAAGGTCTTTAATGAAGATATTGGCATTAATCCTATTTTTTCAGAAGAAAACCTATCTCACAGAGTTTCTTGGTGTTTTTCATTCAAGAGTTCATGGCGTTCTTCTGTCGTTAGATCTGTTTCAGGATTTATTATGAGCTCTTTAGTATTCTTTATTTCTCAGATGTGTTATATAGTATCTTTCTTAGATAAGATTGAACTGGGGCCTACTGTAGACCTGTTCAAGCCATACTGCCCAGCAACATCAGACATCTTCTGCCCACTCTCTACCTTTGCTATTATACTCTCACCTTTCGAATATAAAAACTGACACAAAACAAGTGCCTGCCCGACAGTCTCACAAATACTACAAAAGAATTGGTTATGTCAGAAAAATAAAAGGCTGAAATTACAAGGGAGAGTTTCAAAGTTCAGAAGAATACAATCCAATTAGTATATACCAGTCATATATTGGGCATCAATGTCAACGTCTCCCACGCTTTGAAAAGTTTCGAATTGTTGCCTGGAGACAAGGGAAAACCAATCGGTATTCATTATTTTATGTCAGTTCTTTTTGTGTTTGTTCTGTGAGGTGTTCGTTAACCAATCACTCACTGTATTTTATTGTTATTTGATTCAAAAATGCAAAAATAAACATATTAAGATTAAGAAAATCTGTAAATTATCTCAGCTTACACCAATTAACATCAGCTTCATGTGAAATTTGAGAGGAAGGTATTTTTAAGGTTGGGGTAAACAGTCAGTGTAGCCCACAGTGACTAACAACAATAACTACCACCACCACCGTCAATAAGTCATTAATTCTTTTATTGTCTTGTAAATGAAAATTCTCTTCCTGACTTTAAGTCAGTCAAATTATAATGTTATTAATTTATTGTAATCAGAAGAATGTTTTCTTTAATGTTTAATTAACAACTAGTTTTATTACATCGGATTAATTTTATATTTTAGTCACAGTTTAACCAGCATGCAGGTAACCCTGGTGTTTCCAGCATGCAAGTCTCCCGTTTATAAGCAGCAAGCTAGTCATTCCAGAAAAATATGGTAATTTTTTGAATACTGACCAACCAATATATCATCATCATCATCAAATACAAGAATCTATGTATTAATCCAATGATAAGACAAACAGAAAATGAACTTTCATTCCTATTTCAGTTTCTACTTAAAAACAAGTGGAAAATCATGTTGTCATTTATATATTGTATTTATGCAAACTTTTATTATACATGTTACATTAATCAACATATAACATGGATATTGTTAAATATATTTAGTAAATTTTCAAATTTTGATAATTTATATTTCTTTCACACACTAGCAATGGTAATTATCATTATTAAATGGCATGGTTTACTGATGTCACTATAACAGACTTCTTTTAATGGCTGGATATTGGTAAAAAATTTCAATGAATAGCAAGTAGAAACACATTATTTTCCGTTCATTTAATCCAGTGTTTCTCAATGGGGCGATATCCCCATGTGGGCGTTTTTCCATGTTGGGGGGAGATTAGTAACAATTTATATTTTGAGAGGCAAAAAACAATTTTCTAGGCAATATAGTAAAACATTATATTAAGAATAATTAGATGATATTTTATTCATTATATCGTACAATAATTAAACAAATAGCATTATACTAGTGACTAGTCTATTCAATGCAATATGAATTTGGCATTAGCCTCAGCCCTCAGAATTGGAATTTTGAAGCTTGCAGTGGGGATTCACAGCAAATGGTGCTTAATTTTAATTTTGTTAATTATATCAAAATCTAATACGTATCCTGAGTAAATAAATGTTTAATTTTTTTTACAAGTATATAATTATTAAATAAACTAATAAACCCAACAAAATTTTTTTCAAAGTGAAGGGGGCGATACTACCCAACAGTTTTATTGAAGGGGTGATGATCCATTAGAGGTTGAGAAACACTGATTTAACCTGTCCCATTTTGTTTCTGAGTATTTTCATGTTGATCTCATTTGATCTGACCCACTGAACCCAAATATACTAGTTTCTGCATCAGAACATTTTTGATACTAGATGTCGCTATGCATCATAATTTTTATATTAAAATGAACTTTCAAAATATAATTTTTTTGTTTTTATATTTTTTAATATGTTTATTTTGTTTGTGCAAAATAAAAAAAAAATTATTTATTATCAATACAGTAGCCACAATTATTATTTAAAAAAAATTTTTTTCATTAGACTTAACATCAACAAAAATTTAACATGGCAGCCACAGAAAAAAATTCTAACATGGGATAGGTTAAAGCAAAAATTTCAGAAAACATTTTGTTTCTGTGTATTTTTATACTGTATTTTATAAATGTGCTTATTTGATATAAAAAACAAATTTTGGATTATATTTTTTTCTTTCAAACTAACTTTTGTTGGTTTAATGTAATATTCATATTAAATAACTACTCACCACACCAAAATTACTTAAAATTATGCACTCTGAAACCATTTGCAGTGTGATAACGGATCATTGAAAAAAAAAAATGTTTTCGAACCCCTTCTGGGCTCTGCATCAGGTTCTTAACTGTTCCTAGATGGATATTCAATTAACGAATGTCATTTAAATAAAAGTTTGATTGTAAGTTCGAAACAATTTACAAAAAAGTACATTGCGCATGCATGACGAGTCGGCCTGTCTGGACACTACAAGTGGCTAGAGCATGTTGTGAATCAACTCTTGCCAGGCCAATGACAAAACCATTTCCTGTTTAAAATTTATTCACCTGGCTGTGATGAAGAATTTAAAGATGTGTATAGCCTCTTACCATTTGAGGTGTTCATAGGGAGGCACAGCAAAGAGGAGATTGACCTGAGTAAAGTCGGCTACTATGTCTGGATCTTTTACATAAGTAGCGAGGGCAGTGGAGGTTCTTGCATGACGAATTATATATCTATCTAGGAACGGTTAAGAACCTGATGCAGAGCCCAGAAGGGGTTCGAAAATGTTCATTTTTTTTTTATGATCTGTTATCACACCGTAAATGGTTTCTGAGTGCATAATTTTAAATACAGTCGACCTCCTATAACACGGTAGATACGTTCCGTTCTTTACGAATCCATTTTGTACGATTACTTGCCAATCACAGCCTGGCACGTATGCACTTTACAGACTATGGCTGTTTGAAAGGTTTTCTTCCATAAAATTAATCGATTCCTAGACTAATTTGACTCAACATTTCCAAAACACATATATTTTTTTTGGGAATAATCCGTATAAACTATGCTATAAACAAAAAATTGTAGGATTACTTACCAAGTGTGCACCGTTTGACGTCGCCATTGCTTAAGCTTGTTTTCGTCGCGGAGCAGCGCACCAAACAGCGGCCGCAATTTCTGATAAGTTATTTTTCTGCGAAAACTTCGTTGAACTTTGGAGACATCATTAATATAAATAATTTTTATGGCCGTTGAATAAGAAATGTTTCTTTCACAAGAAATGTATAAAATTAGTGCTGTATTAGACTTACGGTACCTAATTTACATACTGTACAGACGATAGTAAACTCAACTTACTCGCCTAAACTCTCCGTAGCATAGCGCTGGACGGCGAAAAGTATATATATAATTATAATAAAGTTACAATAAATTAAGTTAATATGTAGTTATATATACAGTACCTAATTTATATATAATACTGTATAGACGATAGTAAACTCAATTTACCTGCCTAAACTCTCCGTAGCGTGGTGCTAGACGGTGGAAAGTTGTTCAGCTGCCCAATGACATTTTACCAAATTATAGGAGTTTTTTTTATCATGTTTGTACAGATACCATCGCAATTTTTTTGCTGCCATACAGGAATCCGAACTATAGAAACCCGTGTTATAGGGAGGGTCGACTGTATTCATATTATTTGAAATCTGATAATACATTCAATTCACGTTAATATGAATCACTAAGGAAACAGTAGTTAGTTCACTATCAAAAATTTGTATTACAATTTTCAGGGTCAAAGTCATATAATTTAGGGAGTTACACAAATAAAAATTATTAAGCCTTGTCTTTCAATTATTCCTTACAAAAATGCCTTGAATATTTGGTCCATTTCCCCATACTGATTCTGACTAACTGAGCAATGTCCTGATCAGTCCTGACACTATTGTGCTGAGTATGACATATGAGTTTGTTACATTAAAATCAGCAGGCATGTAGCCAAAAAGTAGCAAAGGCACAACTCCTTTTTTGATGCCAAAGGAGAAAAAAAGGAAGCCAAATTTGACACAAAGTAGCCAAACCTAGCATCAATGTATGTAAACTTGGCATGTTTACTTGGGACCACATCCATTTAAACAGATGGGCATCCTTCAACCCTTGTCCTCCTGAGACGTCTATGAGAATGCCCCGGGAAATCCGACTCCAGCTGTTCTCAAGGTCATCCAGCTGTTTAAGCAATGACTCATCAGTGTTAAATTTCGCAGAAAGGCGAGACAAAGGAACTTAAACTTCAAAGCTTTTTCTTCAAAATAAATGAATTTCTTTCGTTTAAGTATTTTTTATGCTTAATTACATCATAATTAATAACAGGTGATCATTAAGGGGTTAAACTTTAACCCATATTTTCTGAATATAGTAAGTAGAATGGCCCACTAAAATGAGATGTTTGAATTGCTCTACAATTGGAGGTCAAACCTGTCTTTGTTTACTAGAAGAAAATCTACTTAAAATGGAACATTTATTACACTACCATTTTTTAATGTTCAGGTCAAAAACTGTAAAAAGCAACCGTTATTGGAAATAGGATTATTTCTTGGGATTGTAAAGATAATTTAGGTTAGTTTAACAAATTCTTATAAAATTTTTGCTTGCTTTACTGCATGAAAATTAATGTGATGGCAATGGCAAAATTTGCTTTAATGCAAGAATTCACTTTATTGGTGTTTGTTTTAAGGTAAGTTGACTGTATAATTAAAAATGGCAATAAAAAACCCTAGGTTCCTTTAACAAATATTCACTTTGTTGGAGCTTGCTCTAAGTATCAGTTTTCCAATAATTTTCAACACACACACAAACAAACACACATACATGTTAATTCATTAGTGTCTCCTGATGATGGGCTAGGTTGTCTGGAAGTGCTTGAGAAAGCACTAATTTAGAATGGATTTCAACAAAGCAGATTTTTGTTGAATTTTTAAAATAATAATAGCTTATTTTCTATTTTCATTAAAAAAAAATCATAGTTGTTGTATACATTTTCAATACAACTCAGAATTCAGTAAAACAATGAAACCACAAAACAATAGCAAAATTAATTACAACTGCATATTAAAAATCAATTACTATATAATGATTAAATTTGAAAATGTTATTTTAAATAATTTGATAAAATAAGGAAAAAAACATACGTTTCTTCTTCATCATCATCTTCACCCATGGCATCATCAATTGCATCATTCATCATTTCTTCTTTCATATCCATTATTTCAGACTGTTTTTCAAATTCTTGCATAATTTTTTGTATTTGAGGTAAATTAAGCTACAAAAAAATGAATGTGTTAAAAGCTGCTTTTATAAAAATTATATAAAATGCAAACTAATAGTTAATCATAGAAACAAAATACATCAATACTTAGTAACATTCTACAAATATACTTGTATTGAAAATTAAGACACTTGTGTTAAATGAAAAAGCAATTCAAAAAGTTTCACAATGATTCATAAACAAATCTGCTAAACTTAGCCAATTACATAATTTTAAGTCAATTTCTCCTTTTAGCTAGTGAATTTATAAATGACTAAATTAATTTGTTTCAGATTCTTCTTTTCAATGGTGGAGACATAGAATAAAGATCTTAAGTTGAAAATTTAATCTTTGCTAATGTACAGCCTGCTCTGTAGTACAGCAATTATTTCTCTGTAATTGCTGAAATGAGATATTTTAATTCTATGGATACCTGTTGATGCATGATATGTTACAGATATGACCTATGAAGCAATATCCTTGTAGGCAGGTGGTTGGTATAATGGGAGGGTCCATTTCAACAATTACTAAAAACAGGGTATATGCTAACAAAGTTAAACAGCTCAACTTAATATTTTAAAAGATCTTCATGTCCCATAATTTAAAAAAAGTGAAGTGAGAGAAACATCCCATCAGATTTGATCATAGATCACTTCATACAAATAGTTGAAACTATACTTGTAGCTGTTAGCCATACATCTTTCCTAGAACTAATAATTTAATAATGTATCTAAAAATCTAACCTGTTTATTCATACTCTGCATGGCTTTTGTTACACCTTTCATAGCTTGTGCCATGGCATTTTGTGAACGTAGTGTTTGAATCTTCAAACCTACAGCTTGAATATTTGCTCTCATCAATATGAATTTTTTAATATATCTTCTAGTTCTAACCAAATCTTTTGCCATGACTTTAACAGCATCCTGAAAATAGAAAATAACATCATAATTGTTAGGAGTAGTAAAAACGTATTGAGGTTGGATGTCACGCCAACTTTTATTTTAATTAAAGCTTCTTCAAAAACTTCAGACACTAAGGCGTTAAACACAATTAATATATTTTATTCTTGCGAGCGCTTTCGACGTAAATATGCACGTCGTCCTCAGGCAAATTCTCTATTCGTTTGATTTGCCTGAGGATGACGTGCATATTTACGTCGAAAGCGCTCGCAAGAATAAAATATATTAATTGTGTTTAACACCTTAGTGTCTGAAGTTTTTGAAGAAGCTTTAATTAACATCATAATTAATAACACATATTAATTTCTTATAAGAAAATTTATTCATCAGAATTTAAAAAAAACAAATAAGACTCTTTTTAACTAAATAATTATGTAATATACTAGCAGACCCTGCCATGCGTTGTTGTGGCTCAAAATGTATCTATTACAAATTTATAACACTTCCCCCGTGGGGGGAAAATTTTTCGAAAAATTTCTTCTTAGTGTACATTCTCTTGACGTACCCTATTAAAACGCAAAAACCCGCATCTAAAATAGTATCATAGAAGCCAAGTTCTTCACGGTCAGCCTTCACGGATCCTGTCTCTCTCCCCCGCGGGAGGAATATCAAAAAATTTGTTGTTAGTGTACATTCTGTTGACGTACCCTATTAAAACGCAAAAACCTGCATCTAAAATAGTATAAATAGAAGCAGATTCTTTACCGTAAGCCTTAATCCTAACCATCTCCCTTCAGTGGGGTTGAATTTCGACATGTATATTATATAAAAACATGTGCGTATTCGAATGCAGCATTGTGTCAAAATTTCAAAAGGAATCGGTAGGAACAAACGAACATTACATTTTTATTTATAAAAATAGATAGATGATGATCTGCTTTAGTTCATTTTCACAGAAAAGCATAATGCCTCACAGAAAATCAAACTTAGGGTGTTGTACTTGTGGCGTCATCTGTTGGACATAAAAGCCTTAACCTAGATTATATCTTTTAATTTAATTTATATGAATGTTTAACGGAATAATATACAGCCTATGTCCACCCTGAAGTTTCATTCTAAATATTGGTGAAAGAATTTTTGAAATCGGATGAGTAGTTTCGGAGATTACCTGCTGCATACAAACTTACATACATACAAACATTACTTCTTTATAATATTAGTATAGATAAAATTATGTATTGATTGTAAAAAAAATTTTTTTTCAAATTAAAACAGAACTTCAAAATGTTAGTGTCACCACTAAAGAAAAATTTAATTGCAATTAAAAATACACTTATTTAAAATCTTGTTATTTACTTGAAAACTTACATTATAATTTGCATTTCTTACATGTTGGACCATTAAGTCATTAGTGCAAATTTCTTTTATATACTATTTATTTCAATCTTCAAAATACACATGACAATCTATTGTCAAGTGTATTAAGAGCAATCATTTTATTGCAATACAGTTTTGAATATAATATAGTTGAAGCACTACAGAATATACTGTATATCTTGCTTTTGGAGAAAGAATGAATATAATCATCACACAATATTAGTAAGCCAAGTTTCGTTGATTGGAATTTTATAATGAAAGAACAGAAAGCATAATTGATGATGAACATTTGAAGATATTTATGGGAGCAGACCCAACAAAAACATCTTAAATATTTTAATAATCAAACCAGCTTTATTAACAGTACATTTTGGCTAATTATAATTGGCCAAAATGTACTGTTAATCCTATTGATTACTATAATTGGCTAATTAAACACACAAATGCTATGTAATTTGGACTGACAATTTGGAGTTAAGTCACCATCTTATATTAAATTTAACAATTAGAATTAAATAAATGATTTAGAATCCAGAGTTGAAACCTGAAACTTCTGTTTACCACACAGATGCATTATTAAATTTAATACAACATGGTGACTTAATTATCTATCTTTGGTTCAAATTATATAGAGTTTGTATATTTAACTAAAATTTAACCTTGTAATAAATCACACTTGAATATCTAATTAGTAATATTTATTCAAGCTTGATTTCTTTTCTTATACTGATTAACTATAACAATTTTCTTCTGTAGTGAAAAATTTATCTGAAAAGGCACTTATGAAACTCATGTTGACCATATACAATATGATTGTAATGCATTTTTACATGGATATAATTTATTAAGCAATGCTTTGGAGATATTAGTTTTAGGCAAAGTGTTAATACCACTCAGAAAATACAACAAGTAAATTCTATCAATACACTCCACCATACCTTTAAAATGCAGTCTACTTTGGATAGTTATCTAACGTTTTCGGTCTAATTTATAGACCTTCTTCAGGATTGATGTAAAAAATTTTAAAAATTTGAACTTTCCCAACAGTAATTCCAACAACGCACGCTCTACAATCTTCTGAAATTTGATTGCGCATGTCCATTTGCTCTTTATAATGCCGCCGCTTTCCATGCCGTTGCTATTCTATTTGACTCTCGAAAATTCCTTAAGTTTCCTTTCTAATAATATCGTAGGAGCACAGCATTTATCTACTACTGGCCTCAAGCTTCTTTCAGAGGCACACCCAAAGGCCTTGGAAAGGTTACAAGCAAGAGTAAAACGTTTCTCTACGACAACTTTAGCTAAGCAACTAGGTATGACGAGAATAATAGTTTCATCCCCAGCCATGCCGAGGCTATTCGGATTTGCTAAAACACACAAATCTGAAAGAAGCTTGAGGCCAGTAGTAGATAAATGCTGTGCTCCTACGATATTATTAGAAAGGAAACTTAAGGAATTTATTAATACGAACATGCCTCCCCACATTTATAACATAAAGCAGCCATTAGAAGTGCTCCAGAAGTTGAAACAACTGAAAGTTAACGAAACAAGATACATGACGGTGCTTGATTTTAAGGCTATGTACCCTTCAATTAAGCTTGAACCATGCTTTTGTCACTTAAGAGATTTTTTACTGGGCAATATCGATAACGCAGCGAAGTTAAGAAAACAAATCCTGGAACTGGCACATTTAGCTACATTCTCGTCACTTTTCGTTTTTGACGGTACTGCATACTCGCAACTTAGAGGAGTACCAATGGGTAGCCCGGTCTCAGGCTTACTGTGCGAGATGGTAATAAGATCTCTGAAAAATAGCATACTGCAGAAATATGAAGATAAAATGATAATGTATGCAAGGTACGTCGACGACGTATTTATTATTTGGAACGATAAACCAGACATACGACAATTTATTAGAGATATAAACAACAATAAGTATGGCTTGGAATTAGAACTAGAGCAGCAAGATCAAAAAAGAGTACATTTCTTAGATATAGAGGTTGAAATAGATGATAAAGGGCAAATTGTTACAAAAGTGTATAGAAAGCCGACATACGTTCCATGGTCCTTGCATGACCCAACAAGCTACAAACTAGCAGCGTTTAGAGCACTTATTAAAAGAGCATACACTCATTGTAGCAGGGTATATGACACACGTAAAGAACTTGATTACATTGCAAAATTAGCAAGAGGTGTAGGACTTAAGCAAAGTAAAGTAAAAGCATTAATACAAGAAGCGGAAAAAGGATGCAATAAGACTGAAGATAAGAAAGAAAAAAAGGAGTTCACCATAATGGAATACAGAGCACCGTTAAGTAGCATATACAGAAAAATAGGAATAGAGAGCAAAAAGAAAATAGCATATAATGGAAATACGACAATATTCCAAATGCTAAGAAATGACAAAACACCCATAGACAGGAGGCTAGTTCCAGGTGTGTACAGAATACCGTTGCAGGATAAAAGGCTAAAGAAGGAGTTATATTATATAGGAACCACAAAGAGATCATTAAGAGAAAGATTGAAGGAGCACGAAAAGAATATAAGATGTAAACAACCAATCACGGCTTTGGCTAATTATGCTATCGCGGATCCTGCAGAGATTGCAATCGAATGGAGCAAGGCGGATATTATACAAAAGATTGATAATAAACGACATCTAAAATATGCCGGGGCCTGGCACATATATAAATACAGAGAAAAGGGGATAAATATAAATTTTCGAGAGTCAAATAGAATAGCAACGGCATGGAAAGCGGCGGCATTATAAAGAGCAAATGGACATGCGCAATCGAATTTCAGAAGATTGTAGAGCGTGCGTTGTTGGAATTACCGTTGGGAAAGTTCAAATTTTTAAAATTTTTTACATCAATCCTGAAGAAGGTCTATAAATTAGACCGAAAACGTTAGATAACTATCCAAAGTAGACTGCATTTTAAAGGTATGGTGGAGTGTATTAATTAATAATGCAGTTAGAGATTTAATAAGTAAATTCTATCATCATAAAGAAATAGTGAAAACTGATAATCAAATATTTAAATTACACGTAGCGCCTGAAGAAGAACCAAATTAGGTTCGAAAACGATTGCAAAGTCCTTCGTATTGGAGAGGAAGAACACCGGTTACAGGCAGTGAAGTGAGGTAATTTATCATTTCCGGTGTTATAATTTCTATATAGTTTAATCAAATATTTACATTCTAAGTGCTAAAATCTAAAAAATAAAAAAAAACTAATTAACATATCTATTAAAAGCTTTATAAACTTTTAGTGAACAATGATAGAAATCTATATAACATCTATGCAATTCCAAAATTAGTTGCTTATTTAAACAAAAATTATAAGAAAAAAATTTTTGAAATAACTAAATGTGAGATCAGCCGGGGGTACTACTCCGCTAGGATAGTTAATACCACTTAATCGGCGGCTAGTCGGTGAAACTAGTTCTCAGTCGTCCAAAAGAATGGCTTTTCCCAATCTTAGTAAACTCGAGCGCGGAGGGACTTAGTTAAATATTTAAAGCGGAATGAAGAATTGTGGGATTCCTCAGTTCTAACGTCAGGGACCTGACACCAATTTATCAACTTATCGGTCACAGATAAACACGCGAGTAGGGATCTGATTCAGGTAGCAGTCAGGAGACATTTTCTTTAACGAGAATAAAGAAAAATTTTAATAAAGTAAAATAAACAGATGAAGCTTAATACAAAACAAAATTAAACGAATGGAAATATAAACTTCGACAGAGAAACGGATACTCTTAACTTATACAATGTCGGGAGAGAAAGCTCACAATTCATTAATAATCATACAACCTGTTTATTTGACTTCTTCTGTACTTGTATTACTCGAATATACCTTCAGTTATAAGGTTCTCATACTCCTATTCATGGAGAGGCATTGATATTCTCGATATTAAAATAATCTTCTATGTTTCTAACTCATTATCCACTCGATAGGATACGACTTCGGGCGTTGGCCTTATGGAGCTTGTATGGATTTCGTCTTCCTCATCTGGGATCTATTGATGAGCTCCCTGAATTCTGCCAAATTCTGACTATATCTCTCCATTAGTAACCAATCATCATACTGTTCTTCCCCCACGAGAACAGATGAAAAGGGGAAGCAATGAGGGGTCGTCAGTTCCCATTGTGGCGAGATTTTTAACAGATAAGGGAAAAACAAAGGATGCTCATACTTCCGTCAAAGGAAGTGGCTCTGTTATCTGCTTTCCCACGCTAGAAAACCGTTATTTTCTAACCAAACGAAAGAATATTTTTCTACAAAATTTAAACTATATTTTTAAATTATTATTTAGACCCAGGGGCTATTCGGATCTCTCAAATATTATGGCCATCTCTAATAAAACAATATTTACTATTTTATTAATAGTATATACAAAATTTATAAATCTATATAAATCAAGCTTTTTATTTATAAGCAGGCATTATCAGTTCAGGAAGTTATATGTGAATATTTAGATATTCAGCAAACATTCTTAATCACTTAGATCAGTCAAAAATATGTGACAATTTCACAAATATAATATAGCAAAAACATAGGTATCCAAAAACTGCATTTTCTACTTTCAAATGTCAAGAAAAATCTTCATCACATATTAATAAAGTCTGAAGTGTGATTGCCACTTCAGACTATTTTAAAAAAGAAGAAATTCCTCTTAATAGTCTAATATTAGAATATGAATTATTAAACACTTCTACTTTTTTATAGTTAAGTATTTTATATTGTAAATTACAGGTCTCTAAATCACAGAAAAGTAGCTCAATATAATTCTGGAGTTGTTTGGCTTTAAAGATATAACTTGTGTGCCTTCATGGCCCATACAGTAATTTTGAAAATGGTGCAGTTTTTTTAGATATATACCATATTTCAGATTTATATATTTATATAATTATAAATTTACCTAAAAAATTATATTTACAATAGAATTTCATTTTAACATTTCTCCCAATTATATGTTCATTTTTAATTGTTCCAACTTCTATTTCTCCATAACAGCAACAGAATTTAGACTTCAATTTAGCATTTCTAAAATTTACATTACTCTTCAATTTTAAGCAACAATTCTATATTAAATCACACCTGAATGCTATTTTGATTTGACATTCACAGGATAAAAGAGTATTAGATGATTTTTGTATTCTGATTTTTTGCCTGCTGCACTGATTCATAAGCAAGAAAAAGAGTGAATTAAAGATTGATTTGCATTGAACATCAATAATTGATATTGTTATATTAAATGTGCATATTTTAATAGAAATATAATAAACATGCATAATAAATTATTGTTTTATTTGTGATTAACATTATTAATCATTCCATTCATTTTCATCATTTGTATAATATGAATCTGAAGATGTCACTATTAAATTTTTATACTAGAAAAGTAATAAAAGAGATTACTATGTATAAATTTAAGTTCATTCATTACAATTGATTTTCATAATCATTTTCTCAAAACTTGTATTCTAAGTTTGACAGAAATCTGCTGTCCCTGAGAAAATATTAAATAGAAGTTCCACTAAATTTACCTGAAACTATTGCTATTTTGTGTATAAATGCAATAATTATTTTATTTAATTGGTATGTTATGCAGTAGCATACATTAAAATACAACACAAACAATGCAGTCAAAAACCAGTTTAAAAAACCAGTCATGAAAATATATATTTGATTAATATTGTCACTGAATGGCTAGATTATGTCTAACAGATGCATTCTAGAAATGACGATAAATCTTCACAACATATTATCTTTTATAATCACTTACATGATACTCTATTAGATATACAAAGTCATGACATTGTTTGACATACATTGAAATTTGTATCTTAAATTTAAATTTATACCATTTGACCTTGTTTGGCCATTTTCTTTATATCATTAATTATCTTTTTCTCTTGATTTTCCATTCTAACTCTTTCTCGGTCCAAATCTCTCATTGCTCTATTCAACGCACGCTGATTTTGCCTCAGCATTTCTTCAGGTGTTTTACGTCTTCCAAATAACCATTCCATTTTGAGAAGTTAACTGCAAAATACAAAACAGATTTTTAAAAACTAATAGTACAAAAATATATAATCAAATTTAGAAAGACTCACGCTCAGATATAGGGACTGTTTGCAAGGAGTCAATTCTGACTAGTTATATTTTGTTTGAGATTATTTTTAGTTTGTTTTCTTATTTATTTTGGGCCATTTTATTTCATTAAGGATAGACTACAGCACTTTGCCCAGACAAAATTCTAAATTCTAAACTCACCTTACTATGACAACTGCACATGATAATCTATTATGTCATCGAACCCAGAAATGACATCTCAGGAGACACTTCCACAGGAAGTTAAAAGAATAATCTCCCGCCTCAAATTGTCACCAAAGAACAACAACAATAAATTATAAAAGATTTAATATAAGGGCGATGACATAAAGAAAGATTACTAAAATTAAATAAATGTTAGCCACTTATGTATGTAAATAGGGTCAAGTTGGCATAATCAATCATGTAACATCTCCACAACCACACTATAAGAAGGTGGTGAAGCTCAAGATTAAATGAGGTGGAGCTAAGGATCAAGCTATGTAAAAGCAAGGCTTTCAAGTGTCATTGACAGTGTAGAAGTTTCTTGGTGATAGTTAGGCAAAGTTAATTTGTAAGATTTCCTTGCAAATTTTTTATTTAGATTTCAATTTCATATTTTTGCTTTTTGGTTTTGTGGAGATAATTCTAAGATAGTTATAATTTAATTTATAGGTCTCCAAGTGTTGCAAAAAGTTTCTTATATATATATATATACACATATGCACAGTACATGTATGTATATGTTACTGGCCAAACCCGATTTCAAGCCAAACTAGTCTATCCTACATGTGCCAGGATATACTAGTTTAGCCTAGGATAATCTAGTTTGGCCTAAATACTTTAGGCCAAACTGATTTATGTACTACAAATAGTGTAAAAAAAAACTGATTTTGTGTAATTCGAAATGCCACCACAGTACACCTGATGGTTAAAATGTACCCAGGTAACCACAATGGTGGTGCTTCGATTAAGTTGGTTTGGTTAGGTTAACTACATTTTTAGTAGACGTTTCCTTTTTTTTCTTTTGTTCAAGAACTACCGTGAATCAATAACTAGTGACATTAACAATGGGCGGCCTGTCGGCGTCTCCCCTCTGGGAGGAGTCTGCAGGGAGCACGAAAAGTCTGAAGTGCCGCCATTGGGTTACCTAGGTACACTTCAACCCACCCTGTAAAAATAAATAAAAGATTAAATATTTTATATGTTACACTAAAAAACACAAACAAGTTCATTTTTAATTTTAGTTTGACTTTAAAAGTTATTTTTATTATTTCGTTTAAATTTTTGAAAATATTTTCGAAAGTTAATTACCTTTAAAAGTGCATGGCTTAATAAAAGAAAAAAATACAAACTCATAAGTACTTATTAGCTTATTTTTATTTCATAGTTTTGTACAAGTGTTATGTCATGTCTAATCAATACTGTTTTTTATAATTAAGTAGACTATGTTTGAATAAATATTGTTAATCTAATTGATAGCCTTTTAATTTTATTTTAACCATTAATATACTTAAATCAGGTCTAGCCTACGCGCAGGCCTCATACAGCCCGTCACATTAAATTGTGTGGCCCGCTAAGCGATATTATATATCTATTAAAACTTTTGTTTTCCGTTTTGTGTATACCAAAACAATTAAATAAATGAAAATTTGCATGTGTCATTGTTATAATGTGCAAGTGCAAGTATGAACTCTTGGTATAACAATGAAATCATTTTGTATTTGTTTGAGTTGTTATGACATTTTGTATTTGTTTTACTTTTTTAAAAGCATGTTTGCCTAAATTGTGGCCCATTGTAATGTTATGCGTGATCAAAGTGGCCCACGAAAAAATTTAGGTTGGCCAGGCCTGACTTAAATAATAATTCTAAATCAGTTCGGCCCAGGACAAACTAGTTAAGCCTAAAGTATTTAGGCCAAACTAGATTGTCCTAGGCTAAACTAGTATATCCTGACACGTGTAGGATAAACTAGTTTGGCCTGAAATCGGGTTTGGCCGGTAACATATATATAGGTTTTTTGGATTTGATAAAATATCTTTTTATTATATTTAATTTTTACTAACTTTATTTCATTATTGAACATATTCAAGCTTAGAAAAATAAACAGATTTTACGTTATATTATATATTAATTATTTCGGGTTTTTGATTCATTAACAATTTTACGCTACTTATTGCCTGCTTAAAGTCCAGGCCTGGTACTAACTGAACCCTTGTTTATGTAATGCACTGTTAGGAAACTATCCAGGCTTTCGATAGAAATAGATAAGGCTTTACATGTTTTAGAAAACAAATCTAACTACAATCAGAGTCTTGTTTGGGACCCAAGACTCTCCTACCAGTAGGATGTGTGTTAATAACCATACTTTCTTGTTTTCCCATAAGCCAAGTATTGACCTTTTATCGTTAAGATGTAAATGATATCATTTCACACAATTAGTACTTTGTTAGTAAATACTACATACCGTATATAGTTATCTACTAGTTATAGTGTTACTTGTTAGGTTGTAGATCTATCAACATTGAGATATTATAGTTCAAATCTGTAATCACTTGAACAAAAAATGTCCAGCATTCCTTATGCCTACATCATACTGTAATTGAAAAGAATACAACAATAAACTTAATATTATATTGTAAAGATTAATATATTTGGTAGCTTCTAAATCACACTATAAACCTATTCTCCTGTATAGGTTAATATACACTGCACAAATGGTTTTAGAAATTTCTAACGCTTCTAAATACAGTAGAGCGTCGATTTTCCGAAAGTCAATCATCCGAAATGTCAATCATCCGAAAGAATTCCAGTCGGCAAATTTAAATTTTCGCCAGTGCTGTGGCGCTTCAATCTTTGGCTATGTCTTGGGCTACTCAAATATTTTACGTTTTTGATACTAAATTAACATCTNATGAAAATTTGCATGTGTCATTGTTATAATGTGCAAGTGCAAGTATGAACTCTTGGTATAACAATGAAATCATTTTGTATTTGTTTGAGTTGTTATGACATTTTGTATTTGTTTTACTTTTTTAAAAGCATGTTTGCCTAAATTGTGGCCCATTGTAATGTTATGCGTGATCAAAGTGGCCCACGAAAAAATTTAGGTTGGCCAGGCCTGACTTAAATAATAATTCTAAATCAGTTCGGCCCAGGACAAACTAGTTAAGCCTAAAGTATTTAGGCCAAACTAGATTGTCCTAGGCTAAACTAGTATATCCTGACACGTGTAGGATAAACTAGTTTGGCCTGAAATCGGGTTTGGCCGGTAACATATATATAGGTTTTTTGGATTTGATAAAATATCTTTTTATTATATTTAATTTTTACTAACTTTATTTCATTATTGAACATATTCAAGCTTAGAAAAATAAACAGATTTTACGTTATATTATATATTAATTATTTCGGGTTTTTGATTCATTAACAATTTTACGCTACTTATTGCCTGCTTAAAGTCCAGGCCTGGTACTAACTGAACCCTTGTTTATGTAATGCACTGTTAGGAAACTATCCAGGCTTTCGATAGAAATAGATAAGGCTTTACATGTTTTAGAAAACAAATCTAACTACAATCAGAGTCTTGTTTGGGACCCAAGACTCTCCTACCAGTAGGATGTGTGTTAATAACCATACTTTCTTGTTTTCCCATAAGCCAAGTATTGACCTTTTATCGTTAAGATGTAAATGATATCATTTCACACAATTAGTACTTTGTTAGTAAATACTACATACCGTATATAGTTATCTACTAGTTATAGTGTTACTTGTTAGGTTGTAGATCTATCAACATTGAGATATTATAGTTCAAATCTGTAATCACTTGAACAAAAAATGTCCAGCATTCCTTATGCCTACATCATACTGTAATTGAAAAGAATACAACAATAAACTTAATATTATATTGTAAAGATTAATATATTTGGTAGCTTCTAAATCACACTATAAACCTATTCTCCTGTATAGGTTAATATACACTGCACAAATGGTTTTAGAAATTTCTAACGCTTCTAAATACAGTAGAGCGTCGATTTTCCGAAAGTCAATCATCCGAAATGTCAATCATCCGAAAGAATTCCAGTCGGCAAATTTAAATTTTTGCCAGTGCTGTGGCGCTTCAATCTTTGGCTATGTCTTGGGCTACTCAAATATTTTACGTTTTTGATACTGAATTAACTTCTGAAGTATACTTTTTTATTGTTTTTATATTTCTCAATATATTTATTTTGTCTGTACAAAATAAAAAAATAATTTTTAACAATACAATAGTCTTTGTTAGGCTTAACATCGACGAAAATTCAACGCAAAGCGACACGCAACGGAGAAAATTCAACGCGAAGCGACACGCAATGGAGAAAAATTTCAACATCGGATACGTTAAACTATTTTTTCGTACATAAATTGGTTATCCGAAATATCAGTTATACGAACAACCCCAGTCCCCAATTGATTCGGAAAATCGACGCTCTACTGTATCTAAGCCAGTTGGTGCATTGCATTGTTATTAGAATGCTAGTTTGTTGTAAGTGCACCTCTATATATCTGTATTGACAGAGGCACAGACAGCCTTGATTGCCACATGTCGGTGGTGTGCACCTGCAATTGCTTCTCTACCAATCTTTTTGTGGAGCCTATATACATGAGATCCTTATCAAATCTCCTGTCTTTCAAAGGCATGCAATATATGCCCAGAAACTTATGAAGTAGGTGGATCCTTCACATTCCTAAGAAGAGCATAAATAGTGGGACATCTCATATAAGTAATATTTATGGCTCTTTTACTGGCTGTCGTATTAATTACCATCTTAGAAGGGAGTGAAATGAGGTGAAAAGGTTAAATAACTTTTCATCTCATTTAGTAGCTTCTGTTCTCATAAATTTTACTTATAAGAGGATGCCAGAATGATGCCATTTTGCTACACAAACTCTAGTCTTGCTATGTCCATCGGTCACATGTAGCCCAGTCAATGTTTTTGTGCAACCCTTTTAAAACCATAATTATCTTGTATAAATTTTTATTACAATGAAATATCAACATATATAGTTAATTACATTAATATGATGTATAACACCTTATCACCTACACTCAGAAATTAAAACAGTTGTTAAATATTTTTTAACAAAGCTTCAAATGTATTACATATACTATACATGTATGTACAGTACATATGTATGTGTATTTATTCAGTATGTTTACAACAACAAAAGTTTTTAAATCTATGTTTGGTATAATAAAGTCATATTTCCTTAAATTTGTCCTATATGTGTAATAAATGTCAAATGTAAGAACCTGGACTTTATCAATAATATCTTAATTAAAATAATAAANAGCACATCCGTGCAATAAAATATAATGACACTTAATTCGCAGTTGCTAAACACTGCAAAATGCATGTGAAATAATAAAAGAAAATACTAAAATCTAGAAACATGAAGAAAATATGTCTAAAAGAAAACTATTTGAACATTTAGAAATTATAAAAATTAATTCGCAGTTGTCTGTAGTCGCTAAATGTAATTAAAATAATAAAAGAAAATACTATCATTTTCAATAATATAAATTTGTTGGCAGCAATATCTATCAGCTTTCAAACCTGGGAGCATCTCTTCCTACATGTTCTCAGCATCAAAAGAGATGCTTTACCATGACCTCCTGGCCTTTCTGTCCCTATTCGGCCATTTTAATGTGACAACCAATGGCCAGTCAGTCAGTCATCGCCAATTCCTCCATGACTCAATAAGTCATAGTTGCAAGTTCCTCAACAACAGTCACTGCCACTTCCTCAACCAAGATAGTTAACTCTGTGCATTTGAATAGGGAATAACATCATCTCTGAATACAGAATATTCTAAATCCTGAGAGAGTATCATCAAGTACACATTCCATTCTGACTTTGATTAAATCTACTTCCACAACAAAAAAATAACCACATGTAAGATGTCACTACATCGCAAACTATCCTAATGTGCCAACCCTCTCATATGTGAAATTTTCCTAAAGGACAGTCTGAGCCATCACCTTTACCTGATCTTCAAACAGATCTCTTCAAACATCAATGTTACAAAAATGCAAGATTTATTGTAAGATCTCTCTCTCACAACAACTTGCAGTGTCTAGGTCTGTTTTTTTGTTCTGTTTAACTGGTATCAGAGTGATTCACTTTCGCCTGGCTGTCTTGTAGACCTCCACCATCCAGAGTCAGATCATCTACACACATGACCGCTCATGTGACTAAAGTCCAAATAAAAAATAGACCACCCTCACAGCTTCTGTGTCAATAGAATCTGACACAATGGTGTCATCCCGACGAGGGCATCAAGGAGGTGTCGACCCTTACAAACAATACACACATTTCTAAGTAACAACAGTCTTCTGTTTCTAATAAATGAAAAGAAATTTTAATTTCTTTAAGTTTTTTGATTATAAGCCTAATAAAATTTAAATTAGAATTACACATTTACACATGCATATAGATTTAAAATTTTAAATCATTCTATTTTTAGATTGTTAACAGGTTTAATTAATTTATTTAATTTGATAAAATGGCCAGGATTATAATTGTAAAACTAATACACAATTAAGATTTTGCAAGTGAGTCTTTCAATGTCCTTTCTCACACCTCAAGAAAATAACAGTCTTATGGCAAAGTCGACCTTTTTATTAGAGGCTGCTCATCCATCTCACTATGCAAAACATTACAAATCTTCCTTCTGGTGATGGCACAAATAGACTCATTTGTATAGTCTTAATTGTATTAATTTTACAATTATAGTCCTGGCCATTTTATCAAATGCTTATTAAATTTTTTATTTGTGCCATCAACAGAAGGAAGTTTTGTGATGTTTTGCATAGTGAGGTGGATGAGCAGCCTCTAAATGTCATCTCCACTGTAAGACTATTATTTTCCTGAGGTGTGAGGAAGAACATCAAAAGACTTGTTTGTATAGTCTTAATTGTGTATGGATTTAATTGTGTCTTATCGTGTAAGTTATTTGACTATAGTTAGCCACCAAGGGGCACTTCATGTAATGGTTATGTACTGTTGGTCATTTCAAAATCAAATGACTGTTAGCTACTGGTCTTTTTTTGGCCTGGCAGCCATTTTTAACAAAGTTATTCTGTTTAGCTATCTCTGCTAATTAACATAGATTTTACAGAGTAACAAACTGTTGAATTCATTATTGCTGCATTTATAATTACCAAGCACTTGTTTTATTAGTAGCTTAAACCAGAGCTGTGGAGTCGGAGTCGGAAAAATGTGTCAACTCCATCTCCCACATTTTAAATTTACTTTAGTTTTTTTATTTAAATGAAAGAAAATTTATTATTTATTCATTAATTTTTTAAAATCTTTTTGTATTTTGTTATAATTCATTTATTTTATATTTAAAATAAATGAATGAATTTATTTTAAATATGAAATAAATGAATATAGCTACATACCACCAGAATGCCGAAAATCTATCGGGCTAGTTTAATGCTAATTATTAAATAAATTACGTAATCAATTTGGCACTAGAGGTAAGCCAAATTGATTACATAATTTATTTAATAATTAGCATTAAACTAGCCCGATAGATTTTCGTCATTCTGGTGGTATGTAGCTATATTCTATATCGGGTTTGGAGATGTTTGTAAATGAATTTAATTTGGGTCAATGCATCAATTTAATTTATTAAATACATAGTATTCTTTGTAGTATTTGTGTTTAGTAGTTAAATTATTTTGACCCAATTAAATTTGAATATTTTTTAATCATTCCTTTATTTTCCCTGCTCTAAATAAGTACTCTATTTTTCTGAATGAGCCAGACTAATTGATCAGAGTACACATTTTTCTTTTCTGAATAAGGGACTGAAGTAGCTAGCTAGATTGCACACTTTTTAGTTGGACTAACTTTTCTAGAAGTGTGAAATTGAAGTGCAAATGTTGTCAATATCTGTAGATGTAGAATTTTATCGCCCTCTTTCTCCTCTTATTAAATATTTGTTAAAATTAATTATTTTATACAAATACAGTAGAGCATCGATTATCCAACTCAATTGGGGACTCAGGTTGGTCGGATAACTGAAAAAATCAGATAACCGAAAAGAATGAAAAAATACATTATTAGTACAGTGGGTGATCGGTTAACGAACATAATCCGTTCCAAGACTTTGTTCGCTATCCGAATTGTTCGTTAACTGATTATCGATTTANTAATTTTTTAAAATCTTTTTGTATTTTGTTATAATTCATTTATTTTAAATACAAAATGCATCAATTTAATTTATTAAATATGTAGTATTCTTTGTAGTATTTGTGTTTAGTAGTTAAATTATTTTGATCCAATTGAATTTGAATATTTTTGAATCATTCCTTTATTTTCCCTGCTCTAAATAAATACTCTATTTTTCTGAATGAGCCAGAGTAATTGATCAGAGTACATATTTTTCTTTTCTGAACAAGGGACTGAAGTAGCTAGCTAGATCACACACATTTTTAGTTGGACTAACTATTCTGGAAGGGTGAAATTGAAGTGCAAATGCTGTCGAATATATGTAGATGTAGAATATTATTGTCCCCTTTCTCCTCTTATTAAATATTTGTTAAATATTAATTATTTTTATACAAATAAATATTAATGTAAGTTAAATATTAAAAGTACTAACTATAAAAGTATTTGGGTAAATATGCCAGGCTCCTTTCAGAGTAGGATACCCCCTATGAGCGCCTCTACCCCCCTTAAAATGACTTGGTATTTAATTTTGCCAGAGTCAGCCTACTAAAATTATCAGGTGTCAGAGTTTAGTGTTTTTTACCGACTCCGCAGCCCTGGCTTAAACATATTGGTTATGTGAAATGTTAACAAATAACCCAATACAAACTGAACCAAATAAACACGGATTACAAATTTTACTCAATTACAAATTTTATTTTGTAATTGAGTAAAATTTTATTTTTAATTAATTTAATTTTTTTCCATTTTTTTCCTTTATTTCTATTATGTCTGAAAAGAATAGAAAATTTGAAGTGAAAAGTTAAAGAAGTAATTAAAACCAAAATTCATTGTTCCTAGTATCAGTTGTGTCATTTGTGCTCAATATGGAATGGCATTATGCTGCTGAAACAACCTATCTTCACCAAAGAATAGAGCATAAAGAGGAAATGATAATCCCATCAGCAAAAATGTCTAATGGGAACCTGTCAAAACAGATTCCACTATGTAGTGGTCCAACAGAACACACCATAAGCCGATATGGCATTGCTGGCATGAGGTATCCATGACTTCATATAGTTTCCTCCACAAACATTTCTACTTATCTACTTGAAATAAATGAAAATGGAATTCATCTGATCATGGAACATTATGCCCAACATCCGTAGTCCAGTGTCAATTTGATCTGAGCAAAGCACACTGCAAGATGCTTGTGTATAAGCAAAGATACATGTTTAGGTCAATAACTATGGAATCCCATTAGTTTTAAAGCAGAAGAATTCATACAGTATAGTGCGTCTGAAGTCTAACAAAATTGTCTAACTCAACTTTCAAAAGTTTAAGAGATGTAAACACTTCTTTGACAATGATATCACTGTTGCACTTCTTTCCATCTGCAATTGGCACTAGACAGGGTGGTTCATAGGTTCCAAGACATACCAACCAACCAATGTATTTACAACTTTCCTGTTTTTCACATCAACCAACTCATCTAGTATCAGCAGAATGTTAGCACCTTGATAAATATTGTGCAGTGTCATATAAATCTTTGTTTCCAACATTGGAAAGAATCCTGCCCAAGGTGCTTTCACTATGCAAGTTTTCGTTAGGAGATAAATTTTAAATTAGAGTTAATCCACTTTCAGAACCCTTCATGACAAAAAGCATGCAAGGGTATTTCCACAGAACAGATGGAATATGGAAACCTTGTCTTACCATCTTCAAGGTTTACTATTTCTGGAAGCAATAAACAGCAAAGTTCTTTGCTTGCTGCTATTATTCTTGCCCTTACAATGTTTTGCACTCATAGTGGATTTCTTCTCATAACTGACTGTAGTAGTGCATTACTGGCAGCTCAAATTTCCATCTTCCACTACAAATAGGAAATTCATGTAATTGAAGAGTTGCTGTAACCAGCACCTTGGGCATCTTACAATAATTAATTAGAAATTTGGTTTATTCAAGTCTCTATAGCACTATATCAGATATAACCACCAGATCCTGGAGAGATGGAGCTATGTTGCCAAATGTTTGGAATAAAAAGTCACTACGTTTAAAAAAATTCATCTTTTTGTTTCCAATACTTTAAAAAATTTCTACTTTTTTGCTACTTAATTGAGGAAATAAAACAATATCAAAAATTATTCAAAGTATAAATTTTAAAATAAACAAATGTTTCACTTATCAAAAACAGTAAATTTCTATTTAACATCAAATACAATAAAAACACTGCAATTTTTCTAAAAAGTGATTAAATCTTCATAAAGTGTAAAGATAAAGTTTTTAATATTTAAAAATGATACAAATAGAGGGCACACAAAAGTAATGTAAGCTAAATAGAAAAATATATTTTGAAACACCATGAAGTGTTGATACTAGACAGTGGACTTTTCAAATCCACTTTATATGAACGTAAAAAGTCCAGTGTCTAGTATCAACACTTCATGGTGTCTCAAAATATAATTTAAAGAAGGACAAGGTTTCAACACAGAGAATAGAAAAAATAATTATAAATTTGAAAAATATAAATAAGAACTGAAGCTACAGACCAACTAAGGCCGAATATTATGGGCTAGAAACGGCTAAAATACAGGTAACCCCTGTATAACACGATAGTTACGTTCCAAAAAATTGCCGTGTTATGCGAAACAAAGAACTAGTACGTAAAGGAGGGTTAGGTTCCAAAAATTAAAAAACATGCTGTTATATTTTCATAATTAAGATAAGAAAATTTTAATAAAGATATTTAAGTGATACATATTAATATAAATTAAATAATGTTTTCTTCATTATCACTAAAAGCACTATTAACCGAGGATAACTTGCCAAAAAGAAAACGGCAAGTTATCCTTATCCTCTGAGCATTTTTCTGCATTATCTTCAGATCCATGCTTTACCTTTTGCAAAATGTATGTAATTTTAGATTGCTTGCTTCTAGTTAAAAGATCTTTATAAATTTCCTCATATGGTGCTAAGCACTTATGAAGAATAAAGCAAGTATGAAATAAGGGAAAAACATCTGGCAACTTCAGAAGCAGAAGCGTCGAGATCTGGCAACATTGAAACAAGTTTCGAGAAGGACCATGTGTATCGACAGAAGTGCGAGAAACGAAAATTTACATACTTAAGTACTAATAGTTCACGAAAATAATAATTTTCGTAAACTATTATTACTTAAGTATGTAAAAATTTATTACATTTCATGTTGTACGAAAGTT